TCAGTTCCCATAGCCCGGCATTGGAACCTGGGGGTGCAGCTTGAGGTTTCCTGTCAAAGCCCTGCCAGAAGAGGAGGCGTGGCCTAGAGGTCCCCTGCCTGAGCCCAGCCACCATGCAGCCTCAGGTCCCTGCTGATTGCTCATTAAGACTCCCTTATGAGAACTCAGCCTCTGTTGTGGGCATAGCCATCTTGTGTTACAGAATCCCTGCTTCTGCCGTGGGCGAAGCCATCTTGACCATTGTGGTGTGAGGGTCAATTTGCATATTCCCTCTTTATTAGATAAGACTAGAGGCCCGGTGCACAAAAATTTGTGCACTCGGGGGGGGGGGGTCCCTCAGCCCGGCCTGTGCCCTCTCGCAGTCTGGGACCCCTCGGGAGATAACAACCTGCTGGCTTAGGCCTGCTCCTGGGTGGCAGAAGGCAGGCCCAATCCCTAGGTGCAGCCCCTGGTCGGGCTCAGAGCAGGGCCGATTGGGGAGTTGGGGTGCCGCCCCATGTCATGCACAGAGCAGGGTGGATCTGGAGGTTGCGATGCCACCCCTAGTCACGCTCAGGGTAGGGCCAATTGGGGGGTTGGGGCACTGCCCCCTGTCACACTCAAGGCAGGGTCGATAGGGAGGTTGCGGTGCCACCCCCTGTCACGCACAGAGCAGGGCTGATCACGGGGTTGGGGCGCTGCCCCCTGTCACTCACAGAACAGGGCCCATAAGGGGGTTTGGGGCTCCGTACCCTGTCACACACAGAGCAGGGCTGATCAGGGGGTTGAGGAGCTCCCCCCCGTCACTCACATAGTAGGGCCGATAGGGGAGTTGGGGCACCACTCCATGTCACACACAGAGCAGGGCAGATCAGGGGGTTGGGGCGCCGCCCTCTATCACCCACAGAGCAGGGCCGATGAGGGGGTTTCGTCACTGCCCCCTGTCACGCTGATCCCGGTGCCGGGAGGCCTCGCGGCTCCGCTGATCCTGGTGCTGGGAGGCATATTACACTTTTACTATATAGGATAGAGGCCTGGTGCACAGGTGGGGGCTGGCTGGTTTGCCCTGAAGGGTGTCCTGGATCAGGGTGGGGGTCCCCACTGGGGTGCCTGGCCAGCCTGGATGAGGGGATGAGGGCCGTTTTCAGGCTGGCGGGTGACTGAAGCTCCCAACCTGTCCTTTTTTTCTTTTCTTTTTTAATGCTGGGCCAGCTTTAGCTCTGAGGCTTGGCTCCAGCTCTGAGGCCTCGGCTGCTGAAAGCAGGTATCTGGTTTGTTTGGGTTCTATAATTGTAACACTGTTGCGGTCCTGCTCACTCCAGCTCTGAGATCCCGGCTGGCTGAAAGCAGGGATCTGCGTTTGTTCTATAATTGAAACAATGTTGCGGTCCTGCTGGCTGAAGCCTGGCTGGCTGAAAGCATGTTTCTGGGGTTTTGTTTAGCTTCTATATTTGTAACATTGTTTCTTAAACTGCAAGCTCAGAGGCCGGCAGCGGCAGGCGGGGAACATTGGCTTCCTCCGTCACTGGAGCAAGCAAGCCTCCTGTTCACTTCAAGCTGCCTGGCTGCCGGCCGCCATCTTGGCTGGCAGTTAATTTACATATCGCCCTGATTAGCCAATGGGAAGGGAGGCGAAGGTACGGCTAATTACCATGTTTCTCTATTATTAGATAGGATAGTATGAAGCCAGAAGCACAATCTTCAAATCATTAAATTCTGACCAACTGCTTAATGTGGCTATAACCCTGCCAGATCTCTATGGGAGAAGCATGCTGAGGATACTCTATGCCAGGGGTCCTCCAACTTTTTAAACAGGGGCCAGTTCACTGTCCCTCAGACCATTGGAGGGCCGGACTATAGTTTAAAAAAAAAAACTATGAACAAATTCCTATGCACACTGCACATATCTTATTTTGAAGTAAAAAAAAACAAAACGGGAACAAATACAATATTTGTATTTGCATGTGGCCCGCGGGCCGTAGTTTGAGGACCCCTGCTCTTTGCCAAGGACCACTATAGCTGGGGCCTTGACCCAGATCTCTATTGAATACTCTATATAGATGATCTAGGCATCATCACCCTGGCACCTTCAGCCTAGACTACATCCTGCTCCAATCCAGTCCCAGGGCATTTTCCGTGACACCCACATTGGAGACAAATTTTAAGAGGGATAGTCAATCCCAACATGAAGAAAAGGAATCCAAGAGAAAAATCCAAAAGCTGCTCCCAACAGAAGAAAGACTTTTTACCTGGTGCTCTTAGCACTAAGAAGTCCACATGTAGCATCAGTGAAATTGGACATTTTGGAAATCTGTACCACAATAATATGGCACTAACATTTCTAAAGCCAAATGGTAACAGATGGCTAAAGGAGAGAAAAGTTGAAGGTATCTGTGCTCTAGAGTTCCTGGAGATGTAGTCTGGCTACTAGGTAAGAATGGAAAATAATTATGGAAGACCCAGGCAGGAAGAGAATGGGAGGAAAGCAAGGAGTGAGTGATAAATCTTTCAGGGCAATCTGGAATTCCAGTGGGCAATAATGTAGGGTCTGAATGATTTTCTGTAAAGAACTTATATACTCAGATTAAGGTTTAATTAACATCCCACTTAAGGAGTTTCAGATTATTACTTTGGATTTGGCCAGCATTAGCATCTATAACCATTAAGGCTATAGGCAGGAAGGCCTAAGAGTTCAGACTAAAGACAATATAATTACAGTTTAGAGCAGCCATCAGGATACCTGGAACCAGATGTAGTTTAAGCAAAAGGAGCCCCTATTTAAAGGGCCTTAAACACCACATAATTATCTTAACTATATAAATTTGCTCTATTTGGGTCTAAAAATCCTAACATCAGAGGCCCTGGTTTAGGCTAAGACCTGAAGGATATGTAGAAGCTGCTAACTAAGAAAAGAGATATTCAGGGCCCCTCAGCCGTTCACTTAACAAATCTTCATTGAGTATCTACTATATGATAGACACTGAACACAGAATCTGTTGTTTGAGGACCTTTTACTCTAGTGGAGAAGACAGACAAATGGACAGGCAATTACAATACTATGAGATAAGTGCTCTGATGGAGATAAGCTCAAAGGGTTATGGGATTTTACCCAAGTTTGAGGAATCAGAGAAGATTTACAGGGTGGTAAAATATAAGCTTAAACTTTCAGGTAGGTGGTGGGAGTAGAAGTGGGAGGTGGGAGAGGGATTCCAGGGAGAGGGGAGTATGGTAAAAGTGAGATAATCATGGCACATGATTACTAGTATCTTCTGTTATTCCATAAGCCCTGTGATCAGTGTGGAATTTTCTTTCACACCCCTGTGCTTTCTCTATACTCTCCTTGCCTGTTTGGCTAACTCATGCCTTGGGAGTTAGCTCAAAAGTCACATCCTTTGTGAAAGACTCCCCCAGACAAAATTAGCCATTTCCTCCTTTCTGCATCTAGAGTGGCGACCAAAAATCTGGGCACATTATCTGACGGTGAATTCTTTTTCTGTTTTGTAAACTAATTTACAAGAAGCTATAGATATGGAAATTAAAGCATGTTTTATTCATTTAATAACCTGTCTTTAATAAAAGGAAAAATAGTCCTGGCCAGTTTGGCTCAGTGGATGGAGTGTTGGCCTGCAGACTGAAGGGTCCCAGGTTCGGTTCTGGTCAAGGGCATGTACCTTGGTTGCAGGCACATCCCCGGTGGGGAGTGTGCAGGAGGCAGCTGAATCGATGTTTCTCTCTCATTAATGTTTCTAATTCTCTATACCTCTCCCTTTCTGTAAAAAATCAATAAAATATATTTAAAAAAATAAAAGAAAAAATAGATAAAACAACCAAATATTATATTATTTTTGTTATTTATCTACTTTCAAAGTGGCTGTGGGATTTTGTTGAATGCTTTTTCTGTGTCTATTGATATGATCATGTGATTTTTGGCTTTCAATTTGTTTATGTGATGTATCACGTTTATTGATTTGTGAACATTGTACCAGCCTTACATCCCTGGAATAAATCCCGCTTGGTCATGGTGTATGATCTTTTTAATATATTGCTGGATCTGATTAGCTAATATTTTGTTGAGGACTTTAGGATCTATGTTCATCAGGGATATTGGCCTGTAATTCTCTTTCTTTGTAGTATCTTTATCTGGTTTTGGAATTAGGATAATGCTGGCCTCATAAAAAGAGCCTGGAAGTGTTCTTTCCTCTTGGATTTTTTTGGACTAGTTTGAGTTAGTTCTTCTTTGACTGTTTGGTAAAACTCCACTGTGAAGCCATCTGGATCGGGCTTTTGTTTGGTGGGAGTTGTTTTTTGTTTTTTTATTACTGCTTCAATTTCATTTTTTTGTTATTGGCCTATTCAGGTTTTCTGATTCTTCCTGACTCAGTTTTGGAAGATTGTATTTTGCTAGGAATCTGTCCATTTCCTCCAGATTGTCCAGCTTGTTAGCATATAGCTGTTCATCTGAGCCCTTTATTTTGAAAAGTTCATTTTCCTGATCTTCACACTTTTTCTAATACTAAAATAAAACTTTATGATTTAAAAAAACTTATGTACCAGCCAAATAATGCCACACAATAGCATTATTTTATTCTCCTTTTTTAGTCTGTGATTCAACTACACTCTGATAATATAACAGTGAAAAAGGAAGACAGTGTCCCTGACTCAAGAAACCTCTCTTGTATAAAGCCCTGTGCTTCTGAATACCCACTATTTCCTGGATCTATAGCTCTCTTCCTTCCCCACTGCTATAATTCAAGCTTTCCATTTACATTTTTTTTTTAACTAACTGGATTCATATTCATCCAACTACTCAACATGAGATTTCTAAAATGCAGATATCAGGGGCTGATTTTCAATTGCACACATAATGAAGTCCTGGCCTTGGACTTCTATATAAGCTCCTATAGGACCAGGCCCCTGTCTTATCTCTGGGCATTCTCCATATTGAACCTATAGTTCAACCATTGTCTTACTACTTCCAGTTAGGACAGACCCCCAGTTTGTGAAGTTTTGGCTGGGGGGAAGGGATTGGGGGACAGTTACTTGGAGATTATCAACCATCAAGAGAAGAGCCACTAGTGACTAGAAGCAGGAATTGGGACACCTGGAGCTTGCTCTGAAAGCACATCCCCCCACCCCACTCCCAGTCATAAGTAGATCATATTTTTGTGATCTTATGATCTCCTCTCTAGAAGGGCCATTCCTACTACCTAATCCCAGCCCCATAGCATTTCGAATCACAATCTGTGGTTTTAATCCTCTCTTCTGCTTCCTGGCGAACTCTTATTCCTCCTTCATGATTCAGCCTAGAAGTCCCCAGTCTGAGGACTTTCCTTTCCTGCTCCCTTCGTGGCACTTCAATAGCCTGGGGCGCTCACAGCTCTATGATGAGGGCAGGCATGGCATCGGCGGTGAACACCAGCGAATGCGCCACCAGGCCCTCGAGCAGCCGGCACCAGGCCATCGCCGATGCCCATCACCCTCGGCTGCCCAAGTCGCTGGAGGCCCGGGGTCGCCAGGAGAAGGGGCAGGGTTGTGTTCCGGAATCGCGGGTGAAGAGCCGCACCCGGTCACGTGACATGCCGGTTGTCACGCGGGCGCCGCTCACCTGACCGGGCAGTCACGTGGTCCGGCCCGCTGGGACCGAGGAGACTGGCGGGCCATGGCAGGCTCCAGGCTCTGGCTCTCGCTGCTGCTGGCGGCAGCGTTCGCTGGGCCCGCCACGGCCCTGTGGCCTTGGCCCCAATACATCCAGACCTCCGACTGGCACTACACCATCTCCCCGCACAGCTTCCAATTCAAGTACCACGTCAGATCGGCCGCGCAGTCGGGCTGCTCCGTCCTCGACGAGGCTTTCCAGCGCTACCGTAACCTGCTCTTCGGTTCCGAGTCTTGGCAACGTGTTGCCCTCACAGGTGAGCCGGCCCTGCCCGCCCTGGTTCTGGGCTCTGAGGCTGCCTGCCTTGGGACAACGCCCCAGAGACTTCCTGAGACGCCCTTCGGCTTTTGCCCTACCCTGTAGTCTCCACTTTCTCCTGCCCTGTCCCTCGGGCTGTCCCAGCCTCCCCAAGGTTTAGTCCACTAATGCCATTCACTTCACTGAACTCCTGCCCTCGGACTGTATTTCACCCAAAATGCCTGCTATAGGACTACAGTTACTGTGCCAATGGACATCTAAGGAGATCCCTCTTACGGTGTTCAAGGGTCACAGGGTCCTAGTGAAGCTGTGGCCAGGGCTGGGTAGAGACCAGAGCTGACATCCAAAATTCGTATAACAAAACGTGAGAAATGTATTGATCTACGCAAAATTACATGGCAGTGTCTGACACATAGCATGTTCAGGAAATGTTTAAACCGTGAGAGAAATCATAGAACACTTCCGTAAGAAAATGAGTTTTGAGCAACCACCTATAGTGAGGTGGTGAATATAATGGCCTGGACTGAAAGGAGGGTATTCCAGGAAGGGTACAGGGCTTGAGCAGTCACAGAGGGTTATGATTGATCTCAAAAGTGCTGGGCTGGTATGTGTGATGAGGGTGGGGGCTGGGGAGTGGTGAGGAATGAGGTTCGGGAATGGAATAAAGTGGGATTAAATGAAAAGTCAGGAGTGCTTTGGATATTGGTTTTATCTAAATTAGCAGGGGTTAGCAATTTTCTTTAAGGCAGCTGCTGAAAATTGTGTTTGAAGATTATTATTTTAAAGCAAATTAATGAGTGCAGTCAGCAACACAAAAGAATCAAATTCTATTTTATGGATGTAAAATTTAGAGTTTTGAAAATCTGGAATCTAGTTCTCTGGTTGTGACGTGTAGGTGTTATGAGTGGAAACCATATTTATGGTTGGGCCATATGGTAACATCATTTTGAGTGATATTTCAACTGTGCTTAAATTACTTTCACAAAAATTCTCATTTGATATAGAATTAAAAGCATGTAATTAAACAGATGGCAGTTAGAGAATGACAGAGAGTCTTGGCATCAAGGTGAAATGCGTTAGGCTGGGAGGATAAAAGGCCTGCTATTGTTGTGTGGTATATCACATATTTCTCTTAGTCCTTTGTGACAAATATTAGAATGCCTTACTCAGGATTGGCACTCAAAATATGTTTAGTTTTATATAGAACAGTTAGGGCCTGGCTTTGTGCCTATCCTAGTGGTGGGCACTATGGATGTTATAAGAAAAGTAGAAGACCTAGGTTCAAGTTTTACAGTCCAAGTGGGGAAATATGAAGCAAAAGGACACAGTGTATTATAAAATGCTCAAAAGGTAGGTAATTAGGATGTTTACTACTATTGTATAAATTAGGATAATTCCTGTACTTCTAAATTAAGCCTTTACCTCCATTACAGTAGAGCTACAGTTTAATCAAGAAAATACAAACCATGGTTATGTGACAGTAAGGTGCTGTAAATTCCTAATGAAATAGATTTGGAGACAGATAAGAAATTAAATAAAGTGTTTATTTCATTTTATTACCTTTTTGTGAATGAATTTACTCTACTAGTTGAGGAGTTCTTATCCATTGAAAGATAATAAAAACTGGTTTGGATGAACATTACCAAAGACATATGAGTAACTTCTTTCTCTGTTGTCCTTCCCATGGAGCCTTCCCTTTGAAACAGTTTTCTGGTGAGGCTTTCAGAAGACTTGAGCTATAATCCTATTTCTGGGGAGGGGGTAGGAAGAGATGAATTTATGGAGAGGAAAGTACCATCAACAAGGCCCAAACCAGGGTATATTTCTCCTGGGGGCTGATTTTAGTAAAGAAAACAACATATGCAAGTTAGATCTTAGCTAACTGCTTTTCATCCCGTTCCTCCAAATAACTTCCTTGTAGTTGTAGACCAGTGTTTTTCTTAATGTAGCACAACTTCTGGTTTTGATCTGAACCTCGAATTCAGTGAGATTCATACTTCCCTTTTCTGAAAACAAGTCTAGTACTGAGTTTCCATTCTATTCTGAATTCACCTTCAAGGGTTAGCCATAGCTCTCCAGCTGCTAAGTGATCTATGGAGATGTTTAGGATTTGCTACCTGTCATTGAGAGGTGTTTCTGTCAACTGGAGAGTGTGTGCTACATATTGTTAAACCTGTTAAATGGAATTATTTTAGGCTCTAGATATCTAGTTCTCTGTTTTTGGTTATTAAGCCACATTCTGTTTGCAAATCAAAGATCTGATCATTTGGGATGGCACCCATCTAATGTTGCCCAAATACTTTTTTGGGTGATTAATGGAACTGATAAAGCCCTAATTTTTTAGGTTAAGTGGCTAAATCTGATTATGTCATTTGCCTGCTATCTTCTTTGCTTTCCCTGAAACTAGTTGATTGAAGCCATAGTATTTAATGGCTGGAGAGAAAGAATAATGCTGATTGGTTTTCTCCACTCTAATTGGACTAGTGGCTGTGTATTTTAACCTTTCCCATAACAAGGACAAGACCAAGTTAATTATCATTAACTTGATTTCCACTGAGTTTCTTCTTTTAAAAGCAAAAGAGGAAGAAAGCAACATAGAATTCTGTAGTAGAATTATTTTTCTTGTGAAGGAGAATAGAGGGACACATAAGGAGGAGAAATAATAAGATTTGGAAAGGGGATAGGTAGAAGGATCTAGTTTTTAGGAGCAAAATAATTGTTGTGCCTCAGTCAGCCTCTCCTCTCTGGTTTTTTCTTTACTACTAATTTGTAACGTTTTTTAGATAATCTGGATAGTACTGAGCCCAAGGAGCTCTGCTTGATCAAGGTGTGTGTGGTAGTCTGGGCCTGGTTAATGAAAAATTCAAGTCTTATTTCCTTGAGCCATTGTTCATCCCCCTGCCTTGTATTTTCTGCTTGAAGACTGTATACAGTGGAGCACTTGGTCTGGAGCATGATTTATTCAGGAATCAGCCAGAGAATGTTTACTAGTCACATATTTAACTACTAGCGGCCCGATGCACAAAATTCGTGCACGGGTAGGGTTCCTAGGCCTGGCTGGCAATCAGGGCTGATCTGTGGGGCAACTGGCAGGGCGATTGGGGGACCCCCACTGGCACCCGCCTTGGCTGGCCTGGGGCCTGCGGGCTGGGGGCAGCTTCTGTGTTGAGCATCTGCCCCTTGGTGGTCAGTGCGCATCATAACGACTGGTCATTCCACCAGTTGTTCCGCAGTTCGGTTGATTTGCATAGGCTTTTATTATATAGGATGTGCCCTGGGGCAGCCTGCTTAATTTCCAAGTAGCTACTGCTGCTTTTAAAATAATCTGCCTATATTCCAAACATTTCTGAAGATAACAAGGAGATAGTGATGAATGTCTTTACATGTAAGTAGAAGGAAGAATTCAGTGATTTTTTTAAAAAACACAAAAATAAAAAGTCAGTCTAGTGGTGTCCCTCCTGCTCTTCTTTCACCCACTTCCTCACCACCAAACGAGTGAAGCAGGGCATTGTAGAGTTTTGCCTGTTGGTACCTTCTTTTTTTGGTTTGTTTTTGTTTCTAATAGCAGGTTTAGGCTTTTTTTTTTTTTTTTTTCTTATAGCTATACAGCCTCTTTCTGGGGCTCGTTGTCAATATATTAGCCTGTTAAAGGCATAAAACTAATCCTTTTCCTGTTGATTATACAGAAGGAAAGTTTTATTGCCTAACCAATTCTTCTTTTAGAAATGAAGAAGGTCACTGTTATGTTTCTGCGTTTTTGTAAATTTCCCCTGCTGGCCCTGGAAATAAGTGATAAGAGTAGAGTCAGTGTGCACCATCAAGAGGTTTAACCAGTTGGATTAAGTAGGACCTTTCTCCCACTTTGTGGGGGCACTGACAGCAAGGTCAGCTGAAGAGAGGAGGTTGTGTCTGTAGACGTGAGAGAGGTTTTTGTGGAATGGTTTTCTGTGATCTGCCTCAAGGTTTATGGTCTGTAGTTCATTGTCATAGAGAAACGGATTTGCTTCTCTTCTCTATTCCTGGTTCTAGCTAATAAGAACTTCTCTCTTTCATTTCCTTTGCTTCTGTTTTAAGCTTCTGTTATTGCTTAACCAGCGGTCGCCAACCTTTTGGACCTCACGGACCACCAATGGTCTGTGGACCACCGGTTGGCGACCACTGGAAGCTTCCTGAAATGCACTCAATCCTGATCTCCAGCCAATGGTGGTGTGCTATCATTGTGGCCACATTTGAGGTTAGTTGGGGTTTGGCTATAGTGTAGAGCTCTTTGCTTTGGACATGTGTGCTCAGGTGTAGAAATTTGGGCATTTGCCAGCTCAGGTGTCAGTAAGCAGCCTCCTCTTTTGTAAAGCTTTGGAATGGGAACAAGGGAAATGGCTTACCAGGTACACTGGATGAAAAGTTTTTAATTCTGTCCTGTTTGACTTTGTCCTGATGGTGACTAGTACTGGGATCCCACATTAGTAGCTTTGATCTTTTGACTGGGGCCACAGTCCTAGTTTGAGGCAGATTCAGAGTTTCAAGCTTATGTTCCTCTTATATGTTGAGTGTCAGCCTGTTTGTTATACAAGGTGGCATCACACAGTCATGGAGCCTTCAGGCTTCTGAAAGAAGTTCATGAAATGCCCTTGGGGAAGTTGCTGCTAATGGTATGGTTATCCCACAAGGCCCCCAGCCCCTGACCTATGGGGAAAATGGAAGTAGAAAATGGAAAGAAACTAGCATTTATTGAATGTTTGGCACTTGCTGTATACTATGCCCTTGATCTTCCTAACAATTCTGTGAGGTTGGTATTATCTCCATCCTTCAGAACTGAGCCTCACAGAGGCTGAATGACATATCCAGGGTTACAGCTGGCAGGAGTAGAGCAAAAATTCCAGTCAGGCCTGTCTGTCTGCAGATATTGTGCTCTTTTTACTGTACAATCGTGGGGTAATCGACTCGTAAGTGTCTTCATCAAGTATTGTACCAAATAGCGATTTGAATCACACTCTAGTG